CCCCCCCCCCCCCCAGCCCTCCATTTCCTGGACTCTTGGATTATTTGCAAGCCCTTGATCACTTATTTTAATGCTGACTTCCTTGTTACAGCCTCTGAAATGCACTCGTATGGGCCCCTGAGTAACTTTGACATTTCCAAGCACTTTCCTTTGCTAAAAATGTCACTGTACAACAAAGGGGTTTTTTTTGTTGTTGTTGTTCATTCACGACTCCTGCCATTAGCAAATTATAATCGGAGCTCTCCATTCCAATGAATAATAAATGGGCAGACATCAGTGCTTAAACATTCCCCACAAAGGCTGGTGTTCCTTGCGTAACAGAGGACTCGACAGAAAAAAGTATCCAGAAGCTCTAGTGGTAGGTGTCAGATGCGTTATTTGGTGTATTTCCGAACAAAAAGGACAACGCTGAAAGCCTGTTTCAGCCCGCAAAGACACTGCACTTTGGTTACAAACTCCTGTGCCTTTAAAAAGCCCAAATGTTGACGAGCTGTCAGTGAACCCAGTCGGTCCCTGCACCACGCAGCACTCCCGTCCCTCGTACAAGGCCGACTTTTGTCACCTTCTGTTCGGTAATGGAGCTAGGCTGCTGGATGCACACGCTTCATTTCAGATAGTCTCTCTTCAGGCTGTGGCTGCGCTGGGGAGAGGCTGTATTGGGGGAGCAGAATACTTGCTGGGATAGGCTGGAGCTGGCCAGCCCAGCTGAGGGTCTGAAATGCATTGCTCGTGTGCTCTGTGCACCTTGCCAGTTGTGTTTCCAGCTCTACGAACTCCACAGTGCCGACATTAATGCACGTATGGTGTGTTGGGTTTGGCTCTTTAGTGACAGCCAGGTTGATGCTGCCAGTGATAAACCCACTTGGGAATGAGATTATATCAGCTAGTGCTGTTTGCTCCACTACTGCATGTATTTTTAATAAGTGCCAGGTATGAGCGGTGAGGGAAGTCGGATTCTGCACTCTGCTTCAGCTCACATTTTCCTCCTCAATGCCTTGTGCTTCACACCTCAAACTTTGCAACGCAGCATTTAATTTTTGTGGTGCCAAATGATTAAGATCTTGGCCAGGCAGATATATAGCCTTTCAGCATCCTGGCCACGTCGATTGGTACACTCTGTCTTTCCCTGGCCAGCTCCCCAAGAGGGACAGTTTTTATACAACCTAATTTCCAACTCCTGATCTGACTTTTTTTTTTTTTTTCTTTCATTCTCCAAAACCTCCTAGAAATCAATATGCTCCGAGTCCACAGTGAATGGTTTGTCCGTGGGGGACCGGGAGGTTTCCGCTGAGATGGCTGGCTTCCCCCATGCCGACGGAGGGGCCCCTGCTCCTCCATCACACGTGCAACCATGCTGACACATTGCATGCAGCTTAAACACAGCGACCCCACCGCAGCAGCACACCG